AACTTGGAAAGTAAGACTCTAACCTATAATCACATTGCACAATACGTATATTGTGCAATAATATTGAATGTTTTCGCGTGGGCAAAACCTAGTGTTGCAAGGAAACACCTTCGAACGCTAGACGTAGACTAAAAATATTCATGATCTTTGTGTTAACCCGGTTAACTCTGTTAGGTAGAGTTTGACCTAGAAAAATGATGACAGACTTGAAGGATAGTTCACATTGCTCGAAGTAACAGAGAAGGGCAAATGTTAGATGTTAAGTCGAAGATGTAGTGACATTGCTATCCGTTAGGGCGTAGGTAACCAACATGGCAGCCATGAATTTAACAGCTGCTTTTTGTTTACACGTATTTCTATTCTTAAATACGCATTAAATAAATCTGACCAATGCATTTTTTTTTTTTTTTTTNTTTATAAATATTCCGCCATCGACCCCGAACACATACTCATACGCTCTCATCGTTCGAGGGGCGATGATGATGTTATATTTCACCCTCACCCCTCGCCATTCACTCTAATAAATACATGCACTCAGACAAACATATAGACACACAACACATGAGACATACTATATACAATAAATTTCTTTTATTAATTTTTGAACTGTCCTTATACTCTCATTCATAGTAGATACACCCCATCCTATAAAGTTGTAGAATTGTTAGACGTTAGGATGCAAGTTAGGTATGTCGGCACGAATTGAAGCGTGTCATTCATTAGATAGCATTTGAATAAAAGAGTTGATTAATTTTCCTTTTTTAGTAATTTCTGGCATTTTACAATTTAGCACAAAAGAAAACCACAAGCCTTCAAGGACAGTAGTTATATCTTTATTTTTGGTTCTACCAGTCGCCACACGCAGCATTCTGTAAAAATTAACGTTTAACATGCTACGAAAAGAAGGGGACATTCACGATCTTACTCGACATTTGTCCATTCGAGTTAACACGAGTTAACATCTAATAAACATCATGAATACCCGTATTAACCCTACGCAGTGCAATGAAGAAATGTGGGGCAATATTTTTATTATTATTTGCCCTCCACACTGCAGCCGTGGAGCGATGGTGTAGTATGGAATGTAAGCAGGGGGGCTGCCCGCGTTCTGGAGATTCTCACTATTCACTTGGAACAAGACGCAACATCAGCTCAACAGCGAGGACACTCGCAGCATCACCTCTCGCTTTCTCAACGGCTAGCTTGGCTACTCGCTACCGGCTACCTGCTGCACGAGTCCCTTTTTCCGCTGCCCAGTCTACCGAGTCCACAGTATCTGAACATGCCTCACATGGTCATGAACCTAGACTAACGGTTGCACACAACACCGGCCTTTGTCAGGTCCACCAAAACTCCTGGTCCCTAAGACCCAAATAGTCGTAGTTGTTCATATCGTCTATTTAGTTCTTGTAGCTTGGGGCTCGAGTGAGGATTCCACGTCAGTCTGCTGTCTAAGTATAACCCTAATCATTTTACTTGTGTAAATGCGGTAGTTCCTTATTGCTAGCATATTGGCGTGGGCAAGGCTATTCGTTTAGAGAGAAGGTAATTTGGGTGAATTTGTCCTCGTTCAGTTTCATTTTCCACGTTTTGCAGCATTCTTCAATGAGCTCAGGATGCTCCGGATATTGAAGATAGCTTGGTTAGGTGGAGTTAGGAGATAAAATTAGAAGTAATTTGGAAGTAAAATCATCCTCATAGGTTGAAAGAAGGTGTTGAGATATATCGGCAGGTCAGCAGTATAAATTGTACATAGGATGGGACCAATAATGCTCCTTTGTGGGACGGTCTGAGTTCCGAAAACTCGTAATGCCAAATGTAAATCTTTTTGGTATGAGCTCTGCCTCGTCATAATCCATGGTTCGGACGTGGGCTTTAGTACAGCTTATTCTTATTGTACATTTCTTGGGAGTTTATAGTATCTTTGTAACGTTGCTATATCTTTTCTTTATAAGAAAATAATGGCTTCATTACTTTTGCAGTTGGTGAAATAATGCTACTTGGCTTTCAGCCCAGACGTAGAACTGTTCACAACCATTTCTAACTTTTATGCTCCAGCATCAAATAGATCAGATTACTTAAGGGTATACAATGAAGCCAATTTGTATTTTTTATTTACTGGTGTGTTCTATGAGTGTAATTTTTGTATTCCAGGATCCGATAGTTTCCATCGATGGTTAAATGGACATACTTATTTACGTTGATGTTGAGTTATTTACTGGTGGTGTTTAACATCGATATTAAGACGAGAGCATTATTCCCTACGTCATACAATAAAAAAAAATATATTGTAACTAAAGAAAAATGCGCTTTTAAGTAAAGTTTTGCTTTTTATTTTCATTTCTATAAATTTTCACCAACCCGAGAAATATAACGTTTTTATACTAAAGCCAAAAGGGAGAGAAAAAAGTTTTCCATTCTACGTGAATGATAACAATTGAATCCATTGTTCTTGGATTAGGAGAATGGTAGCCGGAGTTGATAATCCCGGCCCGGGGAGGTGGTCATTAGACGTAATATGGCCCATCACTTTGCCCGCTGATTCCCAAAGATTAGCAACAGCATTAACGTTGGCCCGGTTCTGTTGACAAAGGCGTCTTTGGTTATTCATACTATTTAAGTGGAGGGACGGCATAAATCCAAAGGACTTAGGATGACAGGTGGCGTTACCAGGACGGGGTCACGTGCGGCATAGCCATCTCTTCATTATTATCACGAATAATGGAAACCCTTTAAATATTGGCAAACCCTTGTAAACGACCCACCAGGTTTTCGCCCTCTCAAATTAACGAATGAGCATTCATTAAAACGGCAATCCCATTCATCACTGGGCGCTTGTATTTCCTCTCTCTTGTTATTGCTTTCTTAATTTGTTCGATGCCGTTTGAACTTTGTTTCACCGATCATTCGCCGAATATAGAAAATCTCATATTCTACCAAACGGCAGCATTCCATAATACATGGAATGCCAATAATATCCATTGTGTTTTCTTTGTTTCAATTTATTTTAACAATCAAACTTATGTCGGAAATTATATCACAGACATAAACTTACAGGTGGACTTAGGTACTTATAATAAGGCGCCGGATTAAAGAGTGTAAGTAAGAAAAGAAAAGAAAAAAGAAATCTGCATAAAAGTAATCTTCGAACATTAGGACAACTTTCCGAAATAAAGTTCGATAAAACTCCATTCCAAAGGCCTAAATTTTTATAGCGTTGAAATTTTTTCTCATAAAACAAAAAAAATTATTGATCAAAAACTACCATCTTATAGAATATGGTTTAATTGGAACCTCTTAAATGTTAAATAATAGATAAAATCATTACTAATTTTCTTCTTATTTTTTTCAGGTATGATCGGTTCAGTACAACCTCCGAGTATCCATAAGTATAAACTTTTTTTTAAACGTACATATTTATATAACGTAATTAATTTTATGCACGCTTTGAAAAGTAACGTGATCGTCTGCAGGTTAAAAATCCCTTTCTGCACATTATTTGATACACTGAGGTTTCCCAACTTGGCACCGTCTAAATTTTGGCCAAAGTGGTTCATTGATCGAAAAGTATTAAACTTGTCAAATAAATGTTGTCAATACGCCAATAATTACTTAAGTGCTAATCGTCCAAGTTGGTATAAGTGGCACTCAGGATAATCGGTGCCGGACTCCTGACAAATTAGCGTCAGTCTATTGACTCAACAAGCAAGAGGGCATTTCCAAGGGAAACATTTAGGAGAAAATCTTGTTTGAATTTATTTATGCCAATTTATTGTAAAAGACAACTCCTTTTCCTAAAAAATCAACAGTCAAACTGCAAGAAGTACGAATATATTTATGATTTTTGAGCCTTTATAAGCACCTTTGCTTATCCTGGAAAACCTTCAGACCCATTATCGATTAATCCGAAATCTGTCGGTTCAATGTTGGTTCATTTCTTATTGTTAAAAGTTGAGAGTCAAAATTATTTATTTACTATCCATATACATGTATATACATCTTTACATGTTAGAAACAAGAGTACGAGCAGTAGTACTTTACCTCTCGACTTAAATATATAAATAATATATATTTATATATTACGCCAAAATGATTTNAACTGGATTACGAAAATCTAACCCTGAGTTATGCTTAGTTTTAATTATGTAATAAGTTCTTAATTCTTTTGTGTTTTTGATGTTTAACACTGTATTGTTCTATTTTTCTTATTACTAAATTTTCACCCATTAGATTTTTAATGAAAAGTTTAGCACTAATTTCTTTTAAAATATCCTTAATGTAAGGTAAACTTGTATCAACTCCTAGGAACATCCACGGCAAATCTTAGGAATTTATTTTGCACTCTTTACAACTTTTGAAAATTAGGTTCACTAATGAAGTTCCATGCGGCTGCCGCATACGTTAGCACTGGTACTCCTAGTAACCATCCCTAACCATCCCTAACCATACTTTGTACAATAACCATTTGTTATCAACACTAAGTGTTGAATTTCTATTTAATAAAGGAACTAGTTGAACTGTTAGTCCTTTACATTTATTTACTATATTATTGATATTCGGTATGAAGATAAAACAGGGAACACACTTACTCGATGCTACGCTATGCGACGCTACCCGACGCAAATCCAAAGTCCAATTTTTCATAAGGTTACCCCATGTATTACTCCCGTGCACATCTGCCCGATGCCACGCAACGCTACCCTACTCTACGCTACGCGATCCCCACTGCCCAGATTTTCGTCGGGCAGCATCGAGTTCAATCGAAGAAAAAAGAACTCATATTTTTATTCAAACTACATGTATTGTTGTCGTTATGTTAATTACACCATACTTATTTTAATATAAACCAAATTAACTGAGATCAAAAATTCGTTAGTTTTTATTTAAAAAAATTAATTTTAATGTTTTGGTAGAAAATTGATCAAAACCAAATTTAATGAGTTCGAAAATTATTGAGTGTTTATAAAAATTATTTAATTATGATAGGCAGAAAATTTATCAAAACACCAGAATAACTTTATTTAAAACAATCAAGTTCAACAAACAATTGATTACATGGTTGTGCTCATAAAATTGATTAAAACAAGAAAATATATAGCCAATGGTTCATTTAATAACCTACAGGTTACCAATGTCTTACTCCATACACCCTAACGACAAAATCAAGGCCGTTGTTTCTTTGCGATTTGAGGTGAAGTTTGACGAAGTCGTATCCGACTCCACCCTTCTCAAGTAAGGCGCAGCCCCCGCTGTGGTTTGTGAACTGGTCGAGAGCTTCGACATACGTGATGACGTAATGGGGGGTCGGTGGGCTCCTGTATTTGACGTCGTAGGTGACCACTCTCAACAGTTTGTAGTTAAGTTTAGGGTGGTCCATGTAAAGCAACCTGCGCAAAAACAAATGTAAGTTGGCTGAAAGGCATGTCCTTCCTACTACCTCGGACTTACTGATCTCCGGATTGCCTGTGCCCGAAGACAGCGTTGTGGCTCCTGTTCTGTCCGCATGAGACTGCGGCCACAGGCTGCGGCACGAGAACGTTGACCGCGATGGCGACAAAAAGGCCGACGGCCGTGCTTGCGAATAGTCTGTACATTTTCACTCGACTAACTCCTTATCTCGACACCTGGTTTATATTACGGCCGTTATCAAGGGAAAAGTAAGAATAACCAATGAGTAGGTTTTGAGATAACAGCAATCATCTCAAACATCTCGTGTCTCATGTTTGCCTTAAATATTTTTTACAGGTAGAAATAGAAAAACAAATCGCATGACTGATCAATCGGTTCTACATAATTATTTTCATTAGAAACTAACACTATCTCACATTAGAACGATTATTCAAATTCTTACATGAAATAGTTTACTTTTAGCCTATTGTAAATTTTCTCCTCATAAAAGTATCTAGACAATTTACAATAATTGGATATTTGAGTCAGCTTACAGTACAAGGCAAAAAGGGGTCTTTAATAAAAAATAGAAATCCACTATGAAAAACTTAATTATGCCAATATGCAGACACTTTAATCATTACTTTGCTCTGATGATGACCTTAAAATAGGTCGAAAACCAGGCAGGAACAACTGGATTTGTTTTTCTTCAAGGCCATACCGTGATTTAATTATTTAATATTATAGTTATATATATGTATGTATATATATGTACCGTACACATTTATTATATGTTTTGTTTTTTACTATTATCTTTTCTAGTATATAATGTACTTCATTATTATTTACTTTTACTTTTATTATTTCCATTTACTTCATTTTAGTTTAGTTTATTAATTGAGTTATGTACATTATAGCTTATCATAGAAAAGTAAATATAATATGTAAATATATTTGCAATCATATTTCATCTATTATTATTCAATTATGTAACTGGCCGGAACAACTAGATTTGCTTTTTCTTCATGGCCATACCGTGATTTAATTTTAATATTATATATATATANAGATTAATTAATGTTTATATATTAATCAAAGTTTCACGTTTTCTAACTATTGTGTCTTTGTTTAAAAAAAGTTAAAAAAAATTGTAAATTGCTTAAAAAAAGGGAAAATGAAAAATTAAAAAAAATAATTAAAACGGGCAGATAAAATTTGTTTTAGATTTTTAATTGACATTTCCATATCGCTTATTTCCTCTCCTTGCCTTAATTGCATCTCGAAGACGCCTCGGCAGAATTTCTACCAGTATGGAAATGTCTGTTTGCTGGAGGTTAGGCCATTCATCACGAAGAGACTTTTCAACATCGTGGAATTGTTGGATGTACACTTATTCGTCTGTTGATGTTATCCCACAATTGTTAGATGGGGTTCAGGTCTGGAGAACGGGCCGGCTAGGCTAAGACTCTGATGTTATGCTGTTGAAGGTACGTTTGTATTATGCGAGCTACATGTGGACGGGCATTAGAATAGGATTGTCGCTGATTTCATCGAGGATAGGCAACGCGTAATGTTCCAAAATTTCATCTACACATCGAGTGGCCGTCAAAGACCCTCCATGAACAACAACCAACTCTGTGAGACTCTCCATTGAAATTCCCGCTTACACCATCACTGAGCTACGTTGAAAAGGTTGCGCTCTGGGAAAAATTACAGGCTTTGTACCTTTCATTTTGCCTTCTCCACACTCTTTCACGCCCATCTGGAGATCGTAGAGCCAATCTACATTCATTTGTTAAAAGTGCAGCCGGTCGTCCAAAGACCTCGAGCAAATGCGAGCCGCGCAACTCCGGGTGTTCTGGTCAATTCCGCTCCTCTTACGGGGCGAAAAGCCGTCAGTCCATACTTAATCTTCTTAGAGCAGTGCGTTCAGAAATTTGGACACTCGAACTTCCAGGGGCTGATGAGTCCCTTCAACAACAGTAAGTTGCCTGTTTCGCAAAATTATCAAAGTCAAAAAACGGTCATTCTGTGGTTCTGTTACCCAAGGACGTCCAGAACCGGGCATTCTATGGTAGGGCCCAGTTTCTCGAAAACGTCGCAGAGTTCTTTAGGGAACTCCGATGGCAATAGCCGCATACCTGATGGAACGTCCATCATCAATAAGTGCCACACCACGAGCAACAACCTCAGCACTAAGTTTAAAGATTGAAATTAAGAAAACAAAGATGAAAACTACTAAACAGTTTATTGCTTCAGAATTCAAGTGAGACTGAATAAACATATTAAATTCCGTAAATATTAAACATCGAAAAATCCTTTATCCTTGTTTTGGATTAAGGATTAAGTGTGTTTACGTCTAATTGATATCCCCAATTTAAAACATAGCATAAACAAATATTTATTGATAAAAACAATGAGACAAATTAAGAGCAGAATTTTCTTTTATCGAGAAAATGAAAAAAAAATCAGTTGGGTATATATATATATGTGTGTGTGTGTGTGTGTGTGTGTGTGTGTGTGTGTGTGTGTGTGTGTGTGTGTGTGTGTGTTATTTTAGATAAGACTCCATAACGAATTCTCAAATATATAAGTTACAAACAAATAAACTACCTACATTGGAGTTTTCAAAAAGTTTATTTATCTTTACTACGACAGTGCCGATATTCCCTCGACTAAAGCTTGTAAAAGAATGCTTCTTGAGGTCAAAGGAAGGAACAATTGCATTATTACAGGGGGAGAAAATGTTATTATGCATACCTTTCTACTGCGCACTTACAAGTTACTAATAGATAATTATTAAATTAAACGTATTATATAACATATATGCATTTGTTTTTGTTTAAATTTTAATGCTGTAAAGAAAGGGTTAATTTGAAATTTAAAAAAGTTCATACGAAGCTAAAAATGGTTAATTTGAAACTAAAAATGGTTAATTTGAAGTCAAAAATGTTAATATGAAGTTAAAAAGGGTTCATTTGAAATTAAAAAAGGTTAATATGAAGTTAAATAATGGTTACTTTGAAGTTAAAATGCGTTAGTTTGATATTAAAATGATTAACTTGAAGTTAAAAATGGTTAATTTGTCAGAAAAAACTATTACCATTAGAATAAAATAATATATAAGGTTAATCTGCTGACGGTTTAATAATTTGTTATAAAAATACATCATTTTATTTAACTTTAATTATAATGTACACTTTCCCTTCGCCCAAATGTAATGTATAGACTTTTAATTACAGCAATTATATGTTAAAGGCATGAGACAATTTATGCAATAACGTACCCAGAGCACGTATTGGGCATATCACTAACGCTTTGGTAGATACATAATTGCAACTCGTTCATCAAACTGGCCCCTACGATATTTAGTCACTTAAATTACAACATGTTTGTGGCAGGGCGGAGATAAAGCTTAATTAACAAGAAATATCATAGTTCACTGATTAACTCCATGACGAGGCAACTATTGTTGGTTACGGCGCTTTTTGGGTTAAGAGGCACTGTGTCCCCGAAATCGTTTTAAAATTAAATCGAGGTGGGTTTGCTGAAAATCGGAGCAAGACGGATCATGGTGGTTTTTGGTGTGTAATTACAACGAAGGTCCAATACGATACAATCTACGATTTTTTCTTCTTCCACAATGTAAACGTTTTCCCCGACCTACGAATTTTTTTTTCCTTTACAGTCTTTAACTGTTTATTTTTCTTTTGCTACATTCTACTACTCTTTTCTTTTCCCTCAGTCTACGACTTCTTTTTCATCTACTTTTTTCATTGAACTATTATCTTCTTTTTTTTTTTTTTGCGTTATGAACTATGCCTATTAGCCATGTGACAATTCATATATGTGTGTTCAAATTTGGGGGGGTTATTGTGAAAAAAGGGCCAGAGGCGACGGTGGGAATCGAACCCACGACCGCGGCGTGAGAGTCTCTCATGCTAACCACTCGGCTACCGCGGTCCCCAACTATTATCTTCAGCCACGGTATTATTTTTTTTTGTAAAACTCTCTTATTACCAATAAATCGATAAATAATAAAATAAACTGCTCAAATATGATAGGGATATTTGTAATTTATTTTTATGATATTAATTTTAATTAAATTAACCGATATATTCTTGTTAGTTGGATAAAACAAAATAGAAAATACAAACGAAAAACAAACAAATACTATCCACATTTTTAATCACGGATTTACTTAAGAATAGTAAAGCCGAGAACACACCCGATGCAACGCTATGCGACGCTACCCGATGTTGCTACCCGACGCGTTGCCGCGTTTTGGTAGGGTGTGCACATCTATGCGACGTCAAGCGCACGCCACGTACAGTCACACAGCGTGTATCAAAAATCAGTATCGCAATCGCAATGCCTCTTTTGTTTTTAATGCACTATTTTGAGCAAAACCATGTAATAAATTGTTAGTTAAATTTTATGAGCAAAAGCATGTAATAAATTGTTAGTTAAATTTTAAGAGCAAAACCATGTAATAAACTGTTAGTTAAATTTTATGAGAAAAACCCTGTAATAAATAGTTAGTTAAATTTTATGAGCAGAACATACATAAGTGAGGTGGCAGGAATTACGTTCTGAAGACTTATTTTGTTGATGGACCACAATGTCAAATTGGCCAACGTTGTCAATAACAATGTATACTTTAGTATGTATAAGATACTATACTATACATACTAGTATCCAATCCAATCTTTGAATGGAAAGAGTACCAGAACTTTCGATGCTAATGACAATGTTCACGCCTTCAATAGAAAAGACCAGTTTTGGGTTGAATCTGTTGAAAACGAATAGGCGGAGTGTTTTCCTGTGTTAAATGATTTATTTTACAAGAAAACAAACTGGAGCTTGCGAACGACGTTGATTGATGAAATATTGTGAACACTTTCGAAGTTGGGAGATGTCCTTTGGGCACTATTTTCCAACAGCTCGAGATACAATGTTTCAGAGCAATGACAATAAACGGGTGATCGAACCGTCGACAAAGCCAACCATAACATATCCAAGTGAATACGAATGTTTGATATACATTAGTTCAGACTCCACTTTGAAATCTACTTTCGAATACAATACTTAGTCCAATTTTTGACGACGTCTGGAAAACAAAAAAAATTAAACGAATTTCCATTTGCCTCAACTTACTTATGCGAATCCGAATCTTCACAGCTACCAAAACTGAATATGGAACCTGTCTACATGCTGAACCCGACATCAGTCTCCAGCGATCAAACATTAAACCCAACAAATTCAAACTGGCCAGGTTAAAACAACCTCACTCTTCCCATTAATTCATTAATCATTAATGATCAAATTACTTTTGAATTTGCCTCGA